AAACATTAACTGGGGTAGTAAAACCCAGTTCCCAATCAATCAATAAACTAATCCGCCGCGCGCTAGTTCTGTAGTTCGTATCGCCTGCCTTTTGAAAAAAAAGCAGCGCGCGCTACTTCGAATGTCGAAATTTAATGTTTAAACAAAAAAACAAGTAACATTCGTCAATAGGTAAGTAATAAATAATAAATAAATATTAAACATTATCATCAATCATATAATATAATTGTTTTATTATATTTAAAATGTACACATATGATATACAAATACAAAAATATAACATATATATGATAGGCGCAGTTTATATCTCTGCCAAAAGCACACTCCCCAAATTGCGCGCATTGCTGTAATTTCTTTCAAACTTCATGAATCGAGGAAAATTATTTTGCAATGTATTCAGAGTCAATATATGCACTTATACAAATCACTTGGAATACTTTTGAAAGAGAATAACAAGCTCAAAAACGCTACTGACGTATTTCTCCATAAAAAGCACAATAGCGTGAGAAGCTTTTGTCGAGGTGCCTCGAAAGTGATCTTAAACATTAAACGATTCCCCGTTCAATTTTGGTCGTGCAACGCCAACTTAGTGCACAACCAAGGAAGTTATAGACATATTTCATACGTATCAAATTGGATATGCTTTTGTCGGAGATATAACGTGCGCCATATATGATATACTATGTACTAGAAACCCGCCGCTAGTCGAAAGCTTTGTTCGAGGAAATTTTAAGCATCAGTTATGTTTTAATTTCTCTTCATCATATAGCCCCCAAACAATACTTTTTACCGCATCAAAAAATTTCAATCACAACCAAAGTTATAAATATATTTAGGTATATAGCGTCACGAGGGTAAATGTGAGCTAGTTGTGAAATTCTGACGTAGCATACAGCATAACACCGCGCGTTGAAATCCGCTGTAGTCGAAAATTTTATTAAAGGACACTATAAGGGAGCGAATTTATCGTTCGAATTTATCGGTCATCGCTAGTCAATGGTCAAACAATCCAACAAATATGCTTTAGTTCCCGAACCCTGCTTCACTGAAAATTGATATGAATTACACATTTGAATCATTTCGGTAAATGTCAGGTCCCTCACGGGCTCATCGTCTCATTTGATAGATCTGTTCAAATTGAAGTTTTTACGTATGAAAGAATTGTGATAAAAAAAAGGAAATTTGTGCTGAATGAAATTGGTAAAATGACATAATCTATCAAATGACTTTAGATCCTAAATCAAATAGGTTAATAAATGGATATTTACGTAGGTTGACAAAACGTTAATTCAAAATTATTATCATTATATGAAATTATTATATGAAAATTGATTGCTATGAAAATAAGTAATAGCTAGTTATGAAGACAATCCTTGAACACGGGATTCTTTGCAATATTGCCCCGACTTGACAGCACCAAGATATCCTTAGGATCGTGTGTTCTTGACAGAGCGACGCAAAGCTGTCCATGATTAAAACATTCGGACCTAAGGTCCAGTCCAACTATAGTGATGTCTTGTCCCTGAGCACGATTTATGGTCATGCTGTAACATGGCCGAACCGGAAATTGTTTTCTACGAAATATAATGCCGTTAGAAGCGTCTGTTGGTACCAGGGTTATTCGTGGAATCAATATTATAGTTCCATTTTTGTTGAAGGCTTCAATTGTGTTTCTATGGAGACGTGACATAATTGGATGGACGTGACATAATTGGATGGTTAATATTGCGGAGAACAATAATAGGCGTCCCCACCTTCAACTTCAGTTTATGTGGTGGAAGTGAACCAATATTCACAGTGTTTAAAAATTCCACTGGATAAGTCGCCTGGCCATCCTCTGATAGGGATGAGTCGATAGATGTATACGTTGTTGACTGTCCTGGAATTTCGTCAATTGAGGAAATTTTAAAAATCAGTTATGTTTTAATTTCTCTTCATCATATAGCTCTGTTATACTGTAGACATAATGGAATTTATCTAACAATGGCGACAGCGTTGTTAGTATTCGGATTCCAAAAACGATACTTTTTACCGCATCAAAAAATACCAATCACAACCAAAGTTATGAATATAAGTCATAGCGTGAGCTAGTTTTGAAATTATGACGTAGCATACAGCATAACAACGCGCGTAGTTAAGATGTTTTTGCTCGCGCACGTGCATTTTAACGTTGCTACGCAACAGCGCAGTAAACCTTTGCTAAAATAACGACATTATTCTAACGGTTATTTTACCTCACTTCCGACGTTAATTATAAAAAATCTAAAGCCTAAATCAAAATTCTAAGAATGCTATAGCCTATTCCTATCCTTTTTCTACTACCCTGCTAAAAATGGCGAGGTTTCAACTCCATTTGCGAGCTGGGTTTGATTTCACCAGAGGGTCATTTTGAGGTCGAATTTCGGTGTTTTTTCTTCTATGTCCCCGTTGCCGGGGAAATTTCGTCAAGTTTAAATTATAGTATAGATATGTTTTGGAATCAGAATCAAAAATACATGATCAATTGATGCTATTTTCGTATGCTCAGGCATCATATCTATGGTGGCCGAGGAGGGTCATTTTTAAAAATAAAATAAAAACCATACTCACGTGGCCGAGGAGGGTCATTCGGCCGAGGAGGGTCATCATGCATTTTTTAAAAATGGCCCTGCTCGGCCATGGCCGAGCAGCATGAAAGTAAGCCTGGCCATCTCAAAGTGATTATAATAATTAAATGTTTCGCAGATTGGCAATTGATCGGTGTTGTACACACTGCACTGATAATGATATCACGTTGAACGTGTAATGTAAATATAGTGTGCGGATACATGCGAATATATCATATATATTCTAAATGACTAATGCGTGAGACTAGTCTAACTTTTGTAGCGCGATGCGTTACTGTGCCGCGCCGAGCTGCCATGAATTGACATCGTCAATTAAGTCTAACTTTTGACTAAAATTGTTATAAACCAACTTTCATGAGACAAAATTTTTCGGCGACATTCCTACCTTTCTTAAATTGACCCTCCTCGGCCGAATGACCCTCCTCGGCCACGTGAGTATGGTTTTTTTATTTTATTTTTTAAAATGACCCTCCTCGGCCATGGCCGAGGAGGGCCATTTCTTGTTTGGCCCCGCTCGGCCATGGCCGAGGAGGGCCATTTCTTGTTTGGCCCCGCTCGGCCATGGCCGAGGAGGGCCATTTTCGTCATATTGTTTGGCCCTGCTCGGCCATGGCCGAGGAGGGCCATTTCTTGTTTGGCCCTGCTCGGCCATGGCCGAGGAGGGCCATTTTTTTCATATTGTTTGGCCCTGCTCGGCCATGGCCGAGGAGGGCCATTTCTTCGTCATATTGTTTGGCCCTGCTGCGCTCGGCCATGGCCGAGCAGGGCCATTTTTAAAAATGACCCTCCTCGGCCGAATGACCCTCCTCGGCCACGTGAGTATGGGTTTTATTTTATTTTTAAAAATGACCCTCCTCGGCCACCATATCAGAGCATTTCTGTAAAAATAAAAATCTTTGGCGAGTGATTTAGTTGTTAACAATCAGTGGGGCCGAATTATATTATTATATTTAAATGATAAGTTTATATTTAAATGATAAGTTTATTTAAAATATATGGCGGCTCAGTTTATGCAAAAAAAATCAAATTACATTAATATTTATATTAGGAATGTGGAGTGGCATCGCCAAGTAAAACTTTTATATCATATTTACGAGCGACTCACTGCAAATACGCCGCGCAAAAGGTTCTACGAATGCGTCTCTATTTTTATTTTCGCATTGGATATCGATTAGCTGATTGGCTGATATGTAGACACATGAATGAATTAATTACACTAATGAACTTTGTGATAACATAGTTCAGTAATGCGTTTATACTTATTTGGGCATCACCTGCTGTATTGTCTTAACCCACGTGCTGTATTGACCATATTCGGTGGCCAGCTGCTCGCCCGTTATGGAATAATCAAAGTTCTGTCTGATTTGTGGAGAAGCGTAACAGGCGCGTGGCAGGCCATTCTTCCTCTCTTATTATACACACCGTTAGAGGGTTGCGTGCCAGTTCTGTCCTTCCAGTTGATCGTTCATCGTTACACTTCTGCAATTTCTCTTCTAGCTGCTTTTAAGATAGTTCCACGGAAGCGCTTTCTCTCTTTCTCTTGCTAGAATGCGTCTGTGAATTGTTTGTTTTTAAGTTCGTTTCCTCCTGACGCTGACTGAACAAACATTTAACCGCCCTAATTCGGAGTTGTGTGTGGTACCATCAGCAACCTAATCGGCAACTGGTCTTAAATTATATTGTTATTGATGGCTCTGTTTTTGGGTATGTGTTGAGCTGCACAGTGAAACTTTTGTGTGTTCCATAAATTCGTGCTGATAATCTTGTTTACTGTCGTCGTCGGTCGCCTGCCCAGTGTCGATCTGAATCTTCACAAAAGACCTAATAGAGGTCCATTATGTACTAATATGAGTGGACAGCAATTATGCTCCACCTATTTAACCACACAGACCTCTAATTAAAAGAGACGTGGCACATGACCCTCAACAATAAGCTTACGGTAATGCCCTCAATTGCATTGTCCGGAGTCCAGTTATAACTCGTTGAACAATTACGCGCCGTTAGCCTTTGAAACCTTTGAGTAGCATCATAAATTCAGCTCAGTCTAGCAGTCATTAGCGTAATTTACGAATTACATGAAACTTTTGTTTCGCCTAGCGCATATAATGTGTTCAAGTCGGTAGAGTGTGGCTTTGATTAACGATTTTAATTTGGATATGTTTGCAATATGTAGACAAGCTGTGTTTCGTTCTGTTGGAAAGATTAGTAGTGGTCGTTGTCTTGTTTAGTTGTCTCTCCGCTTTGTCTCTATTTGATCTCTGTAAAAAGTGTGGGCCGCATGGCATTTGAAACGCGACAATAGATCGTAAACAAAGCCCGTAATGAGTATACTTAGGTTTAAAGATTGATTATATCATCTCAATGTTTCAATTTGATAACTCCTCACACTGTACTAGTGGATAAGAAAGCGAGCGATTACTCCCGTGAAATCATCCTCTTGAAAGGACATTTTACACATAGCTGAGTAGCCCAAGGAACGTCGCAACCATAGCTTTCAGCAGATCCGGACACAACTTCAGCACCTCGCTGACCCCAGCCACTAGGTCCCAAGGATGGCCCCTCCTCGGCTCAGCCGGTAGTTTAGGTACATTTCCCTCCTACTGGGGGCTCACCATTTGCTGAATTGTATGAACTGTTAACACTTCACTGATTATTTTCTTGTTGTGGCTTCGTCTAGTGGCCGAACAGTTTCTGTTAAAGTATGAAATGGTTACAATTATATGTTTCTTTATTAGATAATGCGATCTACTCATAGTCACAGAGGTGTGCGCAAATGTTGCTGCCTTGGATAATTACGGTACATAGCGTACCATGTTGGACTGTTGGAGCCACCTCCATTATCTTAATATAATGCATTATATTAATATAATGCTTGCAACTGTGTATCCATTTTCCCAACTCGGTTGGTGTGTCTAATAAAGCTAATAATATTCCAGGTGGTAGTGGACTAGCGAGCGCAATATCACAATCCTCTCTCAGCAACCTCGGCTCAGATCCCTCACTAACTTCAGAACAACTCAAATCCCTCTACCGACAGACCAGTACAAACGTAAGTGCGATAACTCCAACTAGTCTTGTCTGTGTGAAATTTTTGCACGCTTTGTCTACCCAACGTTAAGTATCTATAACTGATGTCTGGAGGATCCTGATCTATCTTTTCGGCCTTTACAATTACCACGTCTGTACGTATAGCCATCTCCGAATCTGTTTGTGGTATTCGGGAGCACGTTTCCAAACGCACGGAACAGTCTCGAGCCTAGCTTTCCGCCGACTCGACTGTTAATGTGTTCTCAGTCGTGTAATGTGATGTGAAGAGGGTAGAGCAGGCGAGTGAGCAAGTGACTAGTCTGTTTTGTACAGTAGTGTCGGTGTCGGCTCGCAACCTCCTCCTCTCACCTTGCTCACTAGTGTCTACTGTAATTAACAAACCCAAACTGTGTTCGTCTCACCTGGCTAACGACACTTCTTTTTCTGGCATGTTCCGACTAATTGCCATCCCGAACTTCAGGTCGTTTTGTTAAATGGCTCGCTTATAATTGTTCCCTGGGTGGATATATATATATATATCCACAACCGCTTTCTTTTATTGTGTAGAAGTCCAGCCATGAAATATATATATATCTCTGTTGTCCGCTCTAATGTTATCTAATTTGTTGCTATTTTTCAGAATCCCAGCACCAATGCATCCTCCTTTGGCAAATCAGTCATACCAGAAACCTTGGAGCGGCTCAAGGAGGAATTCAGTTTTATGCAGGTAAGCAGATTTTAACACATGTTGTTAAAAGAAAATATTTGGATTAATTAGGGATCAAATCACAAACAAAGTGAGAGTGAGTGTAAGATGAGCGGTGTTTTTGAGGGCTGTAAGTGAGGAAAGAGAGAGTTGGGGAGTGTGTCACGCGGCAGAAAGGGAGCCTCCTGGCGTTTAACACCGGCCGACAGAGGAACTTTAAACATCCTTTAAACATGTAATGAAATTGCTGAGCTGGTGAAAAGAAGGTGTCCAAGCTTAAAACTTTCTCCTCGACAATTCAGGACATGTAGAGCCCTGATTTCGTGCAAGGACAGGCCCGTATAGGGAGTAGGCTCTGGTTACAAGGATTTCAAAGTAGAGTTCCTTGCCTTCAGAGCGCGCCCGTACCTCGCTCCCGTATCTAGAGATAAAAGTTATCAGCTAGTTGCTGCAGTAGCATGAGGCTGTTCATAGGTTTAGGAATTAGCTTCGTAACTGGAGTTGGAGTGATACGAGCGGACAGGGAAGGTCCTTCTGATAATTCATATTAATACTTTGGTGACTGTATGTGGGCATCATGCCATGCTCAACACGTCATGCTATGCTCAACACGTCATGCCTATATCGCCCTATATCGTCGGCTATACAAATTGTGACTTTTTCTGATGAACTGACTTTCAACACCGTCTGTATCATGTCGCATTTTTGCAGATTTCAGCCAACAATCATAGCTTTTAATTAACATATTTGATCAGAACAATGTTGGTGAACCTGTCAGATGTTCAGTTGAAAGTTGAATTAGTGTTACTAAACTTCAACGGTCCATCAATATTTACTGTAATTGAGGGATTGGCCCCTGACTCAGACGTAGTAGACATGTTTGTTGATATGATTTCATGTTTCAGGCTCAGATACATCAACTCAATGCGGAGCGAGAAAAACACTCGGTAGAAAGACAGGATCTACACAGACAAGCAGTTATGGTGAGCGCACATTTCATAATTACCTAAGTTGGTAATTAGGATTTATCTAAATTTGATAAATTGTATCTTGCCTGCGATTGATATGCGCTGGAATTTTAAAAGTGGTAATTATAACTTTAGTGTGTTCACTGCCATGATGAATATTTGTAACGGCTAAAAGAAAACCTCCTCTAGCTTCTTATTGTCAAGTTTATCTGTTATGTCAATATTACCAATCTTGTTTACAGTAACGCATAATATTTAAGTTACAATAATAAAATAGAAAACACACACAACATCTTAATTTCAATTATGCAATATAATGTAATGTTTATTAAGCCATATATTAACAATTTACCATAATATCTTTAAAACAATAATATATTCAATATATTTGATCAATGATATAGCTAACATTTTGAATCAGCCAACAAAAAGGTCAGATCAGTGGAGCGTTACACCGTACTCCTATTTAATGTAACTAGTTAATATAAAGTGTGTACTGTGTGTGTAAATATTAACAGGGTAGTGGCGGGCGGAGAGAGGGGGCCGGAAGTTTAGTGTAACGTAATTGCACACTCATTACCTTTATAGTGGAGTTGAGTGATTGAGTGCGTGTGTAGGGGTGGTGTACAGCGTATATTGTGTGTGTATCCTTACTGTGGTGCTTTGTTCACGCAAAATGCTGTGTCACAAATTTGCTGAGGCCTTCACAGAATGAGCTTGATTTAAAGTTGACGTCGTAGTTCTTCAACTTTTAAACCTTGGGCTGCTCAAGTGAGCGCACGAGATTTATCCAGCTCTGCTGTACTCATGACCTATTTAATTAATATTTCGTGAACTCATGAACTTTTAAATTAATCCTAAATGGATCAACTATCTATATCGGATATGCGAGAATTAGAAAATAGGGAGAACGTCTGGGTTTACGGGGGATCTTTTGTAAAAGTTGTTACATAAACGAGGTAATTTAATTATCATTCGGTATATTATGTAGCTCTTCATTATCCAGTATTCTAATATTTCTATTTTCAGTATTACGAGATGAGCTACGGTCTAAACGTGGAGAAGCACAAACATGTAAGTTGTTGAGAAAATGTAGTTGTACACATAGTTTGCTGGAAATTAAATTCACACTGCGGGTCTCTCATGTAATGAGATCTGTTAATTATGTTGTTGTGGAAATAATTACATTAAGACCGTTAATATCGATGATAGGACTTGTTACAGATTGTAATGTTAGTGATATCGACCATTGTCAGATCAGTAGTCCGGCTGTAATTGACCCCTAATTCCATGCTGTTCTAATATTAGAACTCTTCATTCCGTCATCGTCAACATGAATAAGATATTATCACTGATTATGGCACTTCTTCAAAACTCATCAAGTTTATCTCATTCTCGTAAACTCGATGTTAAGTAGAAGATCACAACTGATAATGTTTTCAACTTTTCACGAGAGCGTTTTAAAACTGAGCTGCATGTCATTTCGTAAACATCGCACGCAACTTAAATCGTGGACACGCTGAACTTCTTAAACAGAGTTAAACGTGAGTCAACATGATGGGAAAATAGACTCCTTGCTCGCTGGGAGCTCGGTATAAAATAAAACGTGGATCATGTTATCATACTAATGCTTTGTGTCTGGCTCTTTTAAAGATTACAGTCGTAAAGGTTTTTATAACGGTAGTTATTATAGTTACAAGTATAGTTATTGAATTGGCGTGCTGAATAGTGAATAGGGAGCCGTCCTTGCTATTATGCTACTGGTAAAACTTGATTTACTACTGGAACACCAGAGTTTTCACAAGATAGTGTATCAAGGAGCACCGGTGCATGACTCGGCTTTATTGGGTGGTTAAAATGTTAAGTTGTGGGGTTGCCAGCCTACTATGAATAAGACAATAGTAATTTATTTTGTCTGAGAGTTTATTAAAACTCAAGTCCAAATCAAATTTGGCATCCGCCCAGAATGATGTCACCTCAGCTCCATGCCATTTAGTTTTTATTCGGAGACAGCAACCACAAAACCATGATTGCCAAATTATCATCATTGATTATATCTTGCGTCATCAATTGGTGGTTTAACATATTTAAAAAATGTCCGATAGATGATAGAATGACTAGTTGTCAGTAGGGACATGATGTAACGGAGAGGCTCTGAATCCAGTGTAGTGACTCAGCACTGTTCCATTAGAGGGGTCAGGGCGACCCCCTGCTCCTTATAAATGTATGCTAATGCATGCTTCATCCCCCTTACATTCTAGTGTATCTGCAATATCCGCTCTCAATATGGTGCCCCCCACCACATATTTGTATTTATTTGTCGGACCGAGCTGAAGAGAGAGAGAGAGAGAGAGCGGCTATCCTGCCTGCCAAGCAGGCCCCACCCAATGTAGCTTAACACGCAATTTCTAGATTACCACCCGTAAAAGTAAGCACCACATTTATAATGCAGCACTCCTCGAGCTCAGCGAAAAAAGGTCTAATTGCATGAGTGAGACGTTTATTGCGTATATTTGCTGTTAGTTACCTCAGGTACCTCCTCACAACATGCTAGCAGTGTGAGTTACCGTGAGCTAGCACGTCAGGGAACCAGTTGCTTGTCATTCACGGCTGCGCTCTAATTGGTGATATACGGTCGAAATGGTTTCTAATGAAAAATATCCTTATGATACGATGGAGCAGAGAACTGGGAGCTGGGCACTCTGTTCGGCGACTAATATCTGACTGGCTTTATTGTCAGATGAATGGGCATCATTAGCTAATAAGCAACTCAATTCATTGTGCACATTATTGAATTATAATCTGAACAAAGCTAAAGGTTTAATGGTAGCCATTAAAACATTAAATATATACAATAGCAAAGTGAAGTAGCTGGTGGTCTGAAATCTTGATCCCATTTATCAATGTAAAAGCTTACAATAGGATAAAAAGTTTTCGAAAAGTAAAGTCTAATAATAGGCTATTCAGTTTTCATTAAGATCTATTACTTCTGATGAGATAAGGAAACATTCTACAACTTCATTATTTTCATAATCTTAAAATCGATATCAGGCAGACAGTGGAAATTTAAAACTCTATGTAAGCTCCATTTCAAGAATGACAACTGACAAGCAAAACGCTTGGCAAATTCACTTTCCGTTTATTTTCCCGATTTCTCGAACGAATGTGGAATATGGAACTTTTAGTTCTCCTTAAGTCGGCGAACTAGAACTTTCCTTCTTCAACGGTTTTGCATGACTGGTTATTACATTAAAACAGGTGCAACAGTATCACTTTCTACTTTCCACTAAGGTACCGATTTGGAAAGAGTTTAAAAGATTAAAGAGGCCACATTTAAAAATTACGCCTTTCCTAAAATCGCAGCTTCTAAAATTACCAGAATGTAACACTCAGTTACCTTGTATGCACTGTGAACAGGCTAATACTGCAACAAAGCCAAATACCTGTGCTGGTGGCAACAACGCAACATCACACCTTCATTTGTAACAACCAGGGCAATTTAGCATCGAGATATCTTTCAAGTTCTCAGACAATTGCATAAATTGAGCGACCGATTACAAACTACTTGTATGGTTAACCATGTTAACTTGTCTTTAAAATATGTTACGAATAACATTTTCCCTTTCAGATGGAGATAGCGAAACGACTAGGTCTTATCATCCAGCAATCCATCCCGTATCTACCCTTGGAGGTGAGTGGGAGACAGCGCTTTCTCGGTATTTTAAATAAAATCCGAGGAAATCCTCTAAAGTTTAACATCTGTTGAAGGTCACTTAACAAGTCATTTTTTAAAGACTTGCTGAGATTCATACACCCAGGAGGCAGGATCTACGTCGACTATGGGGTATCGTTAGCGCACATGAGCGCACTTCAATAGCGCACTCCACTGACGCACATTAGCATACTTCAATGAGTTTTGTTTTTGGGGATTACTGTCAGCTTATCAACTGTTAATTTGACACAAGAGCTCTAGATACTAAGAGTGCTGCGCCGCCATGAACACACATCGACATTCCACCTTAGTCTAGTTTTAATCATTATCTGGTCGCACCTCCTAAATATTTAATTTCGTGTAAATTTACGGAATTCCATTGCGTTATAAAAGGAGAAATGAGAATATTTCTTGACTTACAGTTGGGATTACTAGTTGAGAGATCTGAGGGTAGGAGCTGAGGTAGCGGAGCGTTGAGATTGCCGATTTCCCAGGGTCCCATGTCGATACTTGAGTCAGACTACCGGGGCTATTAGACCTCAATTCTAATACTCTGTCGCTAATGAGCCCTCATCTAGATTGTAATTTAGGCAGACAATTTTCATTATTTGTTTGATATTAGCCTCCGTCCTGCATGCTTTACGACAACTATAAAATGTTGGCTTTGTTCTCCGTGAGAAAACAAAATGGGGGGCCAGTATTGATTTCAGTTCAATCTAAGTATGGATTAGTTGTATGGATTAGTTTCGCATTAGGTGTGCTCAAATCTCATAATCAACACCTGACGAAAGTGCTACTCTAATATATGCCTCATTACACAGGGTGGATTGATTCATCTCTTGCGACATTTCAATTTAGTAGGATGAAACTCAGCAGATCTCACTTTTAAAGTGAAACCTGGCCGGCGACACTTAGTCTTCGCAGCTCGCAACTCACCTCAACCCTTAAAACTGGGGGAAAACAATTCAATTACGTCTATATATTCAGGTTCTAAATAAAATCATTAACTCTCTTACTCTGCCGTCCCAAATTGATTCCAACACCAAACCATCTTATTTCAGCAACAGCAGATAGCTCTGCAGGCGGTGGAGCGTGCTAAACAGGTCACCATGGCCGAGCTCAACACTATTATTGCAGTGAGTAAAACATCTTTAATATTCGATACAAACTTGGTTCAAACACCACATAATCCTTCTTATGACCACAGAAAACATAACCTCAATATCACACAGTGGGTTACACTAAATATGGTGACATAATAATGACTAATTTAGTGTTTTCAAACTCTACAAACGCTCAACACGTTCCGTTACGTAATCCCTTCTCACTTACCTGTTAGAACACTTTTTCAACACTTTGTGGTTAGCAGTAGTTCTGCTTTCTGTAAATCCCTTTTTAGTTAGGGTACTTTCAAATTCATAGTTTATAATCGGAACGGGCTGGGCTGGGCTGTAATAGTTTGACTTTATCTCTAACCTGAATCTACACGTTCAGGGAACAAAATATCGACTTGGGATTAAATTTAAAACTAAAAGATATCACGTTTTCACTTATAGATTGATGTTTTTTGTTAGGTAAAAACTTACGTTCAAAGAATACGATGTACCCTATTTCTGAATCATGACGCCACGGGAATTCTAGTTTGTATCTTTAATAATACCCAAAATATATATATATCATATTTTAGATAATATATATAAGATAATATATATAATGTAAAATACCGTGAGTCATAAGTGTATATTTAGTTGTGGTGCGGTTCCGGTTGAATATCAAGATCTCGACTTCTTAATATGTACTAATAGGAAACGTTTATAAATATAATATCCGTTTTTGATACTTATCGTTGTATCGTCTAAGTCAACTTAAGCAATATTTACCACTTCCAAACATTACAATGGTTGCACTCATTATCTACAGTGCTAATAGTTAAATTTGCAATTAGCTCAGTCGGATAATGGTTGCTCGACCATTACTACCAAGAATAAAAGTGATAAATCCTAAATTTCGTTGACGAGGAATGTCGCTAAATAGTCACCGTTTTGACAGCCTTTTAAAGTAAGTAGCATCGCAATTCTGGGTAATCTAAACCATGTTATCATGGTTATGGGCGATCATCATGTAATAGTGGATCTAGATTTTGTTATGAGATATTAAAATGGAGTCGATTAGATAGTTGCTGTGCCGGCCACTGCGATTACTAAATTATCCGATAGTAAAAATAAATAATTTAATGTTATCGCAGTTAATGACTGAGACGCTTTCCATTTCATCGCCGATCGGCCGTTTAAACTATCAAGAAACAGCCGAGTATTCATCTTCACTCCAACGTATAATGATGGATGTCTGGTACCTACTTCAAATACCACGTTCATTCTACAACATATCATTTCTACTTTTCTATTTAAATTTCCATCCTCACTATATCCCCCTGAATGGCACAGACTTGTGATATCGTGACTGTAGATCCCAAAACTTCTTCTCGCTACCAGATATAGATGGATCAAATCTCGCGCCACTTAACACTTAAGAAACGGTTGCAATGAATTTTTTATAGTGTTATTTTCAATATGTCCCTTAAAGTACAGGGCTTGCTAGAAATGGTAGGTTTCTTGTGAGATACGGCACTGCCACCTAACAGAGATCTGCTAATTGGAAGGCAATTGTGGTTGGAGGTACTAGAGATGTTGTCCGCTGTGTAGACCACACTTGGCAGTCAGAAAGCTTCAGGGTCACACAAACATTGCGACATACGGGCTGAAAGCACTCATAATCTGTAGCCATTCAAACTGGGTTTCGGATTTAATAGTTTGAGAATTGTCAAGAAAATAGTAGAACTTATGTTCATTTTCCTCTACAGCCTTAAAACCAGTAAACGCAGATATCATTAATGATTAAATACACCATGTCCAAAGTTTCACAGCTTCTAAAGGTAAAGAAAGATGCGGTCCTAGGAGAATATTTTACTGGTGAAAACAAAAACGGCTTCACACTCCTTGCGCAATAGACACAGATATCTTAAACTTTTGTCACTCTGCATTGTTTAGTCCTGAAGACGCGGGAGCCTTGACCTCCCTGCTAACGAATATTTTCTCCCTACCACATCTACCTAACACTGGGTATGTTTGTGACATTACCGCTGCAGATTAGGATGAATTAGGCGAGTACTCTACCGGGTAGCTTCACCCTCCTCTGTATAGCTGTATAGTGAGGAGGTTAGCATAACTAGGTGCTGATATGGGTTTTAAATGTGATGACAGTTTCTTATTACTGATCTCTCTCCTCTTTCTCCACACTCACCGTATATTAGACTCACCGTACACTCTCCTCCATTATAATGCTAACCTACTGGCTCTCAAGCACTGGCAACCCACTGGTTGTGAACTCAGAGTACTAAGACGAGTACAGGCATTTTGACGAGATATGATTGATATGTCTAGATGAGTACTGACGCTGTAAAGGATCTAGACTGTGGTTTACCGACATAGCATTAAGCACCGTGTACCTGTGCCTGGATCCAGCGGTCTTCTGCCTTAACCCTAATCTTGGCTTCTAATTGGACCTTGTTAATTTCGGGAGATATGTAATTGTAAATATCGAGCTCGTGTATTGGAGGGAGAAACTTCGTTTGGTTCGGATCTACAATTAAATGTCAAATTTTGGTGGTAATTAATTAGATATGTACTAATGATTTAATGATGGGATGAGCTGGCGGCACCGTGACTTTCTTGATGAGCTCGTTAAATTAATTTGCTAATTTGTAGAGTCAAGGTAACAATTAAATATTATTATTTATTTCTAGAGTGTAGTTTTAGCCCGGTTAAGATATCGGCTAGAATATCAGAAGAAGAAGAAGAAAAGTTACAGCACGATATGGGCTTCTTAAAAGCTTATAAAACTTAGCAAATTATCAGTAGTTAGGGTATCTAGTTCCACTTCAACTGTAGACACCAGCTTGATATATCGTTATACTTGAGATACAATGTAGATACAGATTAGATACAAGTACTGATGTTACACAGCCTCTTCCAGCCAATACATGATTATCTGGTAACGTTACAAGCATCATTAGTATTCCTAGAGGCCATGTGCCAAGGGAAGGGAGGGAGGAAGGAGGGGGATAAACATGCTACTATTGACTATTATTGGCTCTGAAATCCCCAAAAATCCCGGCCCCGCCAAGATACGACTAATAGTCAAATAACAGTTGTACACGCGTGTTACAGGTAAACAGCTGCCTGCTTCAGTACGGCGTAATTACCCACAATATTATTCAATTATATAATGGGTTTATAATGCGGATATAATTTATCTGCCATTGTGGTCTACCCCTGCTAGACCGGCTCTACCGCTGAATTATCCCCCTGTTTTATTCCTCCACTAGAACGTGCCTGGCAACCTGCTGTGTGATAAACCGTTGGGCCGGGTTTGGTAGGGGTACGGGTGTAATACTAATAAGTTTCGACTTGATAATCGTGGGTATAATAATAATGATGGTGATTTTAATTTTATAGGCGTTGGTTGAGGAGATGATTATATAAAATGTGGGGTCCATTATAATGTGGGGTATATAACGTAGTCTGGGTTGAGCGTCTCTCACGTGCAGCAAGCAGCGCCGCGCTATTAGGATGGTTCGGTGTACGTTTGGAACTTGTAAAGCACATTGATCTAGGACATTAATATATTCCTGGTTATAGAACATAGCCGGGTATATCCCAGGTTATTAGGTTAATATGCGTATTATTCCCGGTTATAAATATAGAGGTTATATTCCCAGTGATATGCCTAATATTCCCGGTTATACGAGAAATATTTCCGGTTATAATTCTAGAGCCAGGTATACCCTGATAACATGTTATAATCTACTGACAAGTCGGAATTGTAGACCAGGCTGATATATATAGTCGTGTATATTGTGGCAAAGAGTTACAAGTCGCAAATGGTAGCTTTCATCGGCGGACAGTTTATACTAATTGTTGAAACGATTTACTGGTCCAAGTTGGAGCGAGTTAATAACTCTGCTCAGCACAGTTGCTGGCTTATAACGATTACTTGTGATGAGTGCAGTATATCGTATCTCGAGGACATATCAGCACTGAATTATCGTTAGGCTGAACTGTTTGTGCACTATAGTGCGACCTCTAGGCTGTGCCAAGTTAATAAGGGTGAGTGAGGCTGACATTGTATGTTGGTTTAAAGCGCGCAGTGCACTGCAAGCGCGGCGCTTGAAGGAGGTGAGTGCACAAGATAGAGAGAGAGAGAGAGGGGAACTGGGAGGTAGAGTTGAGAGGTGGTGTTGATTGCTCACACTATGCTAGCGCCCTGTCACCACCATCCTATAAACATGTTAACAAATAGTAGGGGTGTTATGTGTCGCTGAGAGGTACTGTAACTAGCTGCCAGCATCTCTCTCTCTCTCTCTCTCTCTCTCTCTCTCTCTCTCTCTCTCTCTCTCTCTCTCTCTCTCTCTCTCTCTCTCTCTCTCTCTCTCTGTCTCTCTGTCTCTCTCTCTCTCTCACTCTCTCTCTCTATCTTTCTCCATCTCTCTCTATCTCTCTTTATCTTTCTCTCTCTTTTCTCTCCACCTCCCCCTCCAAGTCCACCTCCTCACTCTGTCCTTTCTCCACTTTCCTTATTTCCTTTTCTCATCTCCCTTTCTCCCACCCTCCCTTCTCTTCCCTCTACCACCTCTCTCTCTCCCTTCTATACCGCCTCCCCTCCTCAGTCTACCCCTCTCCAGCCTCTCTCCCTGTCTCCCCCTCTCCACTATCACTCACAAAGTGAGGGCAACTGAAGGTGCTGATAGACGTGTGTAGGAGCATTACAAGTGTACATCATGTGCACGACTCTACTGATCACCTACTTGCCCTATCTAGTGTTGTGGGGTGGTTTGGAGACAAGGTTTGAGTGGTTGTGATGGAAGTGAGGGTGAGGAGGGTGGTAGGTGTTGATGAGGAGGAGGAATTGTGGTGTGCGATGGTATTTGCATCGTGTCACTCTCTCTCTCTCTCTCTCTCTCTCTCTCACCCTCCTGCTGCTTACCATGGGGGTGCTGAAGTGCAGATTCTTTTTAACCCGCCTTACTAAGTATTTAGCAATTCGCGGAATGCCGCATGACAAGGCCAATTGTAAACGCTAATTGTCTATATTATATTTAAACATGTCCTGCGTTTTGCCATGTTATATATTATAGCGTGATTCATCGCTGTTTCAGCCCGGCGGCTGGACCTAGTTGTGTCAACGGGGAACACTCCGAAAACTTACATCCGCTTTATTGAAATGAGCTGATATGCTATAATGCAGTCTGGGGCGAGCTTACAGTCTACCCGACAGTGTGTGGCAAGTCTGGTCCATTTACCCTGACATCTAAGTTAGTACCCAGTTTCTCGTGATAGAACCTAGGTTTTAACACTGTTCACAAAGTCTGAGCCGTGTCAATCCTTAGAACCCTCGCTAAATCCCAGTATTAATCACATACCTCCCGCGGCTATTACAGGAGCTTGGTTGCCAAATATAACATCTCTAGATACCCATCCTCAAATCAGTAACTACATCAAAAGCTTTATAAAAGCTTTTGTTACATATTATTAGAAATAGGATACTTCCTTGTGTTTTATCTTGTGGATCCAGTTATCATTCGGGCCCGTAAATTATTATTTGGGCCCGTAGGTTTTAGGCTGGGTACACAGAAGGGGCCTGGTCGGGATTATTTGAACTATGTAATATGTATACACTATACAGTGTACAGGGATACGTGTCGTTCATGTACTGTTCCTGAAAATGTTTGTACCGCCACAAAACCTTGCTATCTACTTAGTGTCGTAACGTATCTTACCATAATCGTAAGATATCACTTAATTCTCCGGATATTTATAAAGTATTTTTTGACTGATAATTATATCAACTTCTAGGACATCAACTTAGTTTTTTATCACACCACGATATGAACTTGGTTTCATATTATATCTATCTTGAAATAGCCGCAAAATATCGACCAGTTCCTGACGGCATATTTCTTAAAATTACTACAGGAAATTAATCCAGTAAAATCCCAGTAAAAGCAAGAAATTAGCCCGGGCAGCGGTTGAGTGAAAAAAAAACAATTCCACGTTTTCTATTTCACTAACACAGTGTTTATCTCCCAGGCGAACGAGCATGGAACCCACGGACTATCAGGTAACCCTCTCTCCCTCCCACACCCTACCCACCTCAACATTCCCAGCTCTAACGCCAGTAACAACCTTCTCGTACTCTCCAACCTGCTGGAGGGGCAGCCTCGTCTCTCACTCGGAGATAAGGACAAGGAAGCAGCCACTGCCTCTCTAATGTCGGTATGTTCCGCTTGTTAGACCTAGTGCTTTTATGACCACAATTCATCAGTCTGTTTTTTCCCTCCAACTCTTAGTCAGGTCTCGATCATCTTGTGCCAGTCGGTCCTAAGTTAAACTTGTATTTAATTAAATTCTGACAGAGAAGGTATTTTTGTCGTCAACTTTCCGGTTGATTTATTAATGGACTGCGGTGAGTGACGGGCATGATTCTTCTTAACAAGGAAATCTACTTGAAGGTTCTTATCGAATCTTGGATAATAAGGGTATGGATAAAAGAATATCCAGGTCGGAGTATGCCCCACACACGGACCACGATACGCTATAATGTAGCACTCCCCGGTGATTGATTTCTCTCTTTTTGGCGACTGATTTAAGCGTGTCGATAACAATGCAGGCATTTCATTTGAGCTGCTGGCTAGGTCACGTGATTGAATGCCAGGCTCCGGAGCGTGAAACCATCTGCTGGGTCGAACTGGTACCTTGCTATTTCATACTATGTAACACGGTATATGGAGCCCCAGTTAGCCGGGCCGGTGGAGAAGGCTCGTCTCTGAGTCTCTAACTGGCAGCTGGCGACTATCTCATTACGAGTTGATGGTTAGGTCACGTGACTGATTGCTTCAACACCTGCTCATTTTCATCATTACGTTCATTATCTGTCTAGCTCACAGCCCAAGGCTCATGACCCTCAGTTCCGCCCTATTTTACCACCGCGATTTTAATCCGGTGAGAAATTTTCGTGGGCCAGGTGAACCAGCAATTCGATGATATGTTAAGTCAGCCGCAACTAACTTTTCTGAGTCTTAACTTTAGGAGTTTTTACGAAGAAGAGGCTAGGTATTAGGAGCACAACCACGTGATGTGGTTAACTGTGGTGCTCAGTTAGCATGTGACCATGGTACCGACGTCTCCCAGAAAATGATAATCGTCTGTCAGCCTGTAAATGGGTTTACATGGCCCGCCATCAGCCGAAATATGCAATTGGTTATTAGTCACGGGTGAGGGAGGTGGTTAATGGAATCCCTTAGTTCTGTTAAATGCAGTGTTACACGAGGTAGCCTCCTCAAACAGTGTGAAACAGATCAAGCCTGTGTTATCCTAATGAATAGAGTTAACAAGACCTAGCAGTTTTACATTAACCCCCTCTATTATATCTCGTCTAACAAGTAAGAATTTGCAATTATCGTCCTGCCGGCCCAGATTTGCGGACCCCTGCTAAGTTTCATGATGCAACACAGCTCTATTTGTAAACTTTGTGAATTGCTGAAGACGAACGACAACGCACTCACGGCAAAGCAGGTGGTCAAACCGCACAAAATTTGTCGAGATTTTATACAATACACTGTTAACGATGGGACGTGGATTTGACGAAGGAGTTGAGGATCGATCAACTGTTAACGAACTGCTTTGGGTCTAATAATACTCGTGGTGACCTGCACCTGGCATGAATACGAACCATTACCAAACTTTCAATGTTGGACTTTCTATAATGGCGGCAAATATTCCACACTATATCTTGCTATTGCTGAGAAGTAAGGGTATAAAATAAGCCTCCACATTTCCCATTCACACTTCCAGATCACCCCTATAACTCTCAATTTCCTCCACTAATATTTTTCTAACTCAGCAAATCAAGCGAGAAGACGAAGGTCGGATGTTTAAACCGGTGATAAAATCAAACGGTAACTCCTCTCACAACAGCGCACTACTTGACGCCTACTTCAAGTCTCAAGCACAGCAGATGCCCACGAGCGGACTGAGTCCCTTGCCGAGTGTGAAGAGGGACAGACCCACAGAGGTACATAAACCTCAGGGAATTGAGATGGGTGAGTCAACTAAGAGATCCGTTGGGTCGATATTTGAATCGAGCATTAAGTTAACAGCACTCTTCATTCACCTGTTCGGTGATTTTGTTTTTAACATTTTTAACATGTCATGGAGCATGCAAAAAAACGTGTTAAAAGAGGCTAATATCCATGTTAACCATGTTAACCGTGTCAATATTGTCTTTACTGGTGTGTTTTCAGCGGGCCTCATATCAAGGACCGCTAGCAGGTCCAACAGCACGATACATTACCAAACAGACTCCGTCTCTCAACCCGGTCAGTCATCTTACAATTCCTTAACATTCCCTCCTCAATGAATGAATCTTTGAAAATTCTTGAGTGTCTGCGATTTGGAGCAACAACAATAAACTTGGAACGCCGCATCGCATCTCCCCTCTTGCTTGTTACCACTCTTTATAATTCCACCATGGATTTATCATAATATTGTCATGAACTTTTCATAACCTTATCACAACCTTGTATATTTATTAGAGGCTCCTTTTAAATGATCAAATAGCTTCATTCTATGTCTGCATCCATTTTGGTATTCCTTATCAAAGAAAGTCTTGTTTTCTGTCCTGTTAATTTTATCAGCGTGATCTTGGTAGATTTTGCCACTATTTGTTGAAATAACATTAAAGAAGTTGCAAGCACATTAAGGACAACAACTTCTCGCTCTGCTTACAAATGGTGAATTGTAACTTTATAATCTGCTAAGTAATGTCCACAACGCCTCAAGATAGCGATTAATATATAATATCTGCAGTATTTCATTAAAATATTTTGGTATTTTTACCCGAGTCACCTCTCCTAAATTTAATCAACATTAATTCGCGATCCATTTAACAGTCATAATTTGACCCCCTTAAAAAGCTCGAAGCTCTTAATTAAACCTCTGACCTCAACCATTTAAACTGAATTTTATAAACACTCCCTCTATTATAAACTCTCCCATATTTCACAATATATAATATTCACTACCACCTGCTGGTTTATGCTCATTGCTCCTACCCCAACAGATTGTGAGATTGTAGAACTTTCTCGCCTCAAAGACTCCAGCGTCCCAGCCCTTCCTTCCATTTTATGTTACGATCCACTTTAACTAGCTAAAACAATGCTCCTAATTCAACTCCGAGAGATTGATTAATTTAGAGTAAATTTATCGCACATCCGAGTGTCTCTAACTGATGTTGAGTACTCTGACAAGCTCTCTAGGAGCAGGCTAGAGGAAGGGAGGCAGTAAGTTGACATGCTGTTACGAGGGCCTCGTATTTAACGCATTTATATGTCCATTATACGGGAGCATTAACTCTTCAACAGCAGCTGGTTCTTTAATTTGTAATGTCTACAATTTGCGCGAACTCAACAGTATTATAGTAATGTCTCATTATTCGCCAGCCGCTCAAGTCACAAGTGTAAGAGAAGTAAAAAAATATTATGTACACTACTCAGTAGGCAATAGGGTATAACGGCACCAGTATCACGTGACCTTACTCAGAGGAAATTATTCGTGTGTTAACATCCATCCTATTCATATGTATTTTACAGTCTTGTCTAATCTATGATAATCTATGACGATAAAGTCACAGTTTCAGCCTTAATCGTAATTTTGATAACAACCTCGTCTTAATACCGCAAGCATTACTGAATCAATTTCACAGCATATCATCACAGTTATACTTTCGATAATTTACCATCAGCCACTGCACTGCATGGGCGCCCTCTCGCCAAATTTTAAGCAAATAAATTACATTAATGGCAAATTGAACAAATTTTCCCAAGTTTTTGGTACTCAAATTTATTAATAACCTAGCATTCTCTAAAGACTGGCTGCTAAAACGCTTAGCATCCTTTCCACCCTTGAATAACCAGATAACGGTAAATATTACCACCATCTATTAGGTTGTTACGGTCTCCCAAAACCAGCGAGCTTTTAAAATTAGGATTCGGCAGATGAAGCTGGTAACTAACTTAATGTGTCCTCCACGTTGAGTGTCACGGTCACCGACCAGTCAATATACACTCTCAAACCACTGGAGAGTGGCGGTCGTTTGTTCGCTGTCTAGATATGGTAAAGGACGGCGACAAATTTCACACAAGTCAAATATCGATTGCTCAGCTTTATGTCGGGAATCTGTGTATTCTGGTCATCGATTATCCATGTTTAATGTTTATTTGTGTGGTATGCGGAATAAAGGTCTGAATTTATTGATCAATTCATTTTTGTGGTTCTTCCACAAAAATTAGAAGTGGTCAGAAGTAAGCCCCTCCTACTCCTAGCACTATTTTAAAATGCTCCTCCCTGTCTGCGTGACTTTCCTATATCCCTGAGAAGAAGAAATTAAACCCTCTTATTCTTCAGAGAAGAAGAGACTGAAGGAGGAGACGGAGGGAAGAAGGGAGAGTGACGGAGAGAAGAGTGATAACGAACAGCTGGTGGTCGACGTGTCCAATGAGGTGGGTACTGGCTTGATGCCAACTAAGGGGGGGGGGGGGGGCCGCGGCGGGGGGGGGGGGGGGGGGGGGGCCGGGGGGTTATCCTTCAAATATAGTTAATCTGTGTGAACTGGTTAGGGAGCCCCTGAAAATTAAAAATGGAAGTAAAAGTTGCTATGGATGTCTTTGTGTGCCTCATGATTTGGGTGTTCAGTCTTCAGAAGTTCAGAAGCCAGAGGCCTGACACGTTTAGAATCTAAAATCGAAACTTATTTCAACAACTACTTAGAGTGATTATCTCCAACTATTTGCATCTTGATTCTTGAAGCACGCGGTTATTTGCGATATAAATATCCCTGACACGTACATTTAACATTACATGTATACTGTTTAGTGGTTAGTCGTGAAGATCAGTGAGGCGTCAAGATGATACTATGATCGTTACTCGATATCCTAACATCACAGATATCACCACCATCTCCTTGCCTCTCAGTTTGCAACATTTAGTGCGATTAACGCAGTTACAACATGCCCGCCTCACTTCTCCGCAATTAACAAGGACACCAGAAACCTGATACACCATCCTCTCCTCCCTACCAGAGCAGCACAGTGGACGGAGCTCTAATAGTTAGCGCGGCACTATCCGTGTAGTTAGACTTCACACTAATGCTCCCTTTGGGTGGTCGTTAGTGGGGGAGAGGTGTTATAACCTAACAACTATGTCAAGATATAGGTGGTATGTTGGGGGGAGTTAGTCTACCGGTACAACGGGGAATATATCTTGTTTATTGGGGAGGCATTGCAACCTCAGTGTCCCCCAGTTTGTAAACAATGATGAGGTTGGTAATGGACATGTGCTTTCTTCTGGGAGGGAACAAGTCTTTTTTCGGTTAAGTGGTCTGGGAGGGGCTTTTTTTGAACTGGACACGGGGTGGGATGTGACCGTTCGATTAACTACCAGGACATTTTTAATACCTGGAGTCAGCTGCTCGTCTCGGTGTGTTTAAAATGTCCCCTAATTAGTTCAACTAATACTGTAAACGGCCTACCAAGCCACTCACTAATTTGTAAATATGAGTCTCTTTAAAACAGACAAGTTTAAAAGCCATTTAAAGCACTTAACCCGCGTAAGGGCCGAGTAATTATCGGGAATTGTTTGCCGTTATTGTGTACCTTACTTGTACCTGCGACTGTGCGAGACCTCTGTAACGAGCTTGTCTTGTTGTTACAAAGTGCCCCCTCAATACTCGTTGTGTGATAGCAGGAGCAAAGGAACCCCAAAAACCCGTACGGACCAGAAATAGCATGGTAATCTCAAACAGAATCACGAGTTAGAATAGCTGGGGGTCACAATAGCATTAGCTTGTGGTGAGAGTAATCAGGGGACAGGATTGCTAGGGGTGATAATAGGTAGACTCTAGAGGCATGTTTAGGTAAAAACTAGAAGCGTGACGTGAAGAATTTAGGGGCCACGCACAAATACCCCCCAGCTAGCGTATATACACCATGTCAGCCAGTCTGATTAGTTTACCAGGACTACAGATCCGAGCTATTTGTTAATGAGAGCTCCTCCTGTGGACTTGTTACATACAGCTACTATCCTGAGTCCTCTTCTAACTCACCATCACAGAGACAGCGAGACTAATTAATATTAGGCTCCGGGGGACAAATCCTGGTAGAAAATGCACCTTCCAGGTTATCCGTCCTAACTAGAGTTGTCACATATTCAACCGTTAAGTAGCATAATGTGCGCATAATTATAAGGGCTCGGAGGGTGTGTGAGTATCAAGGCAATGACTCCTTTTCTCTCTCTCTCTCTCTCTCTCTCTCTCTCTCTCTCTCTCTCTCTCTCTCTCTCTCTCTCTTTCTCTCTCTCTCTCTCTCTCTCTCTCTCTCTCTCTCTCTCTCTCTCACTCTCTCTCGCTCTTTCTCACTCTCTCTCTCTCCCTCATTTTTTCTCTCTCACGATCAGATAATCCTATCATGTACTTAGACTGGGTTGTCTGGATAAATTATGTCATTTGTACTTTAATAATTTATACAACATGTAATATGCGATGAGCTGATATTATTTATATATAACACTAGCAATGGCCATGGCTTCGACTGCTTATTACTTTTTGGTCGTGTCAATGAAGAGTCTATTCAATGATAACAGACAATTGGACTAAAAATATCTCTGATTTTTCGGTTTTTATCTAATCGATTGCCAATACCCCCCGTTGCGATCAGAGTTTTCCAAATCAAATTTCGCTTAGACGCCGTAAACTGCGGCCTGTGATCTTTCGATATTCGTGAGAATTACATTGTCCAATTTTCCAATAATTAAGATTGGAATAGATTCTGGAAGCTCTAATTTTTGGCAGTTCATAGATCACTTTAACGAAATACTCAATACCCCGTATTATTTCAGTTATTAGAAGCGTGACCACCAGCTTCCTTACAGCCTCCACCTCTAACAGCTCCTTTAGAAAACCCCAAATGAAATCTTTTATAGTCCATACAACCAAATGAGTAAAGCAAAATATCCTTAAATTTTGAAGCGATATGTCAAACTTTCTATTTTACTGCTTCTTCTCTGGCATTGTCTCTGTTAAGTGACCTTCTAATTCCCTCCTGCTCTGTTAAAATTTTAAACTCGGCAAGATGATGTCGAAGAGGAATGTAGTCTTCCTGACCCATCCCTCTCCTCCTTGCCCTTCATGTCCCGTATGCTACTGGAGGTCAATCCAATTTGCTGATCACGTTTAAATTTGGTTTTGTACGTCAGAATTCGTACGTTTGGAAGACAAAGCAGTTCATGTTGTCGTAGGGGACTAGCAATTATAGATGATACGTGAGAGCAATTAGAGTAATAAGTCCGGTAGGAATTACCGACTTAGATCCACTGTTTGAAGTAACAAACGGTCCCATAATCAGAATAAGCTGGTCATCAAAATCAATATTGATTTTTATTTTTTTGAAATACTGAAACGAGTCCGACAGATTTTGATAATACAGGACCCCCTATCTATCGTCTCTTCTGACAGACCACTTTTCAGGATCCCTTATCGCCGAGCAACACACTACGAAAGGAATCGCCCCACTTAAAGGCGATGGCTGCGAGTGCGGGTAAGAACGGTACAGCTACAGATAAACCCGACGCTACAGTTCAGAGGTCCGGTACACCTTCCTCCAATGACTCAGCCTCTTCCACTCCCAATAGAGTACGTAGAAATGACGCCTTGCTTGTCTTACTGTGTTGGGATCTGTTCGAGATAGATCATCCAATTACTGTTTTCTTCGGATTCAGATATTGCGGTATTTTTTTGAACCAAATTGCAATGAGTGTGATTCACACCTAACCTAATCTTGCTCCCGCTAGAAAAGATATGTTGTTAACACTATAACACTATATTAACACAAGATATTCTCAACTGATACTTATAAGACTCGGTGAACCGCAAATTTCAATCCCAAAATGGCCCAGATGTCGTTTTTCGCAAGAACAAAGGAATCATGATCATGATTTATAACACCTCTAGCAAGTGTGAAATTTGCCACCTATCAAGTTCAACAACTATGGCCAATACCTGACCTCGTATTTTCTATCACCTCTCACGCTGTGAAGATTCAATTCTGCTAAATTGTAAGAAAAACCGACTCGTGGTTCTCAAATCCGATTGTATCCTGATCGGAGTCCAAGTCTGGCGTATCCCCAATCCTGGCTGGATCTTGCGAGCTGTGTATCCCAGATAATGACAGTCTGGATAATGAGTAAGTGATTGTGAAGATCTCGCGGGTGCGAGCGACCCTAACACTCTGCCACTTGTGACGATGATCACACCATCGGAAGTGTGAATGTAACTTAATGACATTGAGCAATTCTCTCTCTGGCTCTCTCCACCTCGTGTCCTCTGATCCGATACAAAAATGATTTTCTAATTTTCACACCCCTGCGGTGCGGTAACATAATACTAATATTACACTAATGTAATAACAGTAATACAGAATTTGTTGAAGTAGGTGTCAGGAATATATCGTAAATACGGGAACTTGGCTCGCCTTTACGGGGCTTCCTATCACATTTGCACAAAATTGAGGGAATTTGGCCGGATTACGTGCGAGGTGGGATGGTAGCCCTAGCACTGATTCATCTCGCAGACGAATTTGTGTTAACACATTCGAACCACGCAGCGGCGATACCTACGTGTTTAGGAAACCCCGGGGTTTATTATATGTCCGACAAACAAGAAGTGTAAAAAGTAAAAGTTGTGAAATGAGAAGTACTCCCCCGGGGTGGTATCTTATAAACCTGTCTGTACCTCTCTCTCCAGACGCTGTGAAGTGTGCTGTGAACCTGGGTTTAATGCGTGTGTCTCTCGCGTGGTGCTGAAAACATCATCTCAACTCTTTAGACATGTTCCTCAAAGTAGTAGTATGTGACAAAACACATTTTGGGGATGGAGAGTCCAAAAAATATTACTTAATGTTGTGAGTATGTTTGCGTGTCAGTAGATTCACACGTTAACCCCTCTTATCTTTCAGCTGGTACAGGACATCAAGGCAGTGAGCTCCACTCCTCCATCCTCTACTCCCACTTCCACTGTCGCTATCGGCAAACCAAAAGCCACGTCACTAGGTGAGACTATAAGCTATATTACGTTGTTGTTAGCAACGTATATTTCACGATAACAAAACTGTCTCGTTACTTGTTAACAATGTAAGTTTTCACTTTTTCTCACTTTTTTTCGCTAAGACTTCCTTATTATCTGCCGTTAGTCGAATTAGATGATGAGAAACGTTTTCTTCGTGTCATCAGCTCTATCGCCTGTACTCAATTGACACTTTTCACGTTTCACTGCGTGTTGCGTGGTATTTATCGGAGACTTACAAGCCATTGTAAGGGTTGTGTCGCAAGCGGCCATTGTTGAGCGTTCTAGCTGTCATCATGAAGCTGTCAACGAGATCTGACTCAATGATTTGTAAGAAACTGTATCGTTCTTGTTAAATCAGATCTAAGAAGCGGACATGATTCGTGGCATTAATCTTCGCACTAGTATATCTAAAATTTTTTAAATTCTACCAATTATGTACCGATTTGAAGTCGGGATCTGAAATCACAAGGTAACCTCGCCTGCCACAGAATACACGTTAAAATTAGATTGCGTGATCTGAGCGGCCGACTCAGTCCACTATGATAGTAGTGCAATTCATTTTAAAAATCGTGAATCAGCCATTGCCAAAACAATTAGTCCGAGTCGTCAAAAATTCGGAACTTTGTAAATGTTTCAACATTTGGAAGAATAAAAGATGTTTAGTAATACTATAAGTTTTACGCCAAATATGCTCTAATGAAAACAAATCAAGTGATCGATGTTAAACGCTGCTAGATACATACCATTCAGCGAAACATTGTTTTGAACAATTGGATTCGTCATTTAAGAGGCCACCAAAAAACGCAAATCGGTTCGTTTTAATTTATAAAATTAGGACATAACATAAAGTTCTAGATTTGATTCCTTGAAAACTCCGACTTCTAGAGATTATCCCTGTAGTTGTACGCCACTTTAATTTAGCTGCAACGTTTTCAACTCTCACATAACCCCCTCGGAAACACCTCCCAATTAAACGCCCAACTTTATTGAGCTTTGTTAATTTTCAAAATTAATTTTTAATTAGAAAAACAAGAAAATTGCAGCGTGCTTGGCCCCACAACCCGACTCAAACTAAAAACACCGTCACGGCTCTAATTTTACTGCAAATTGGAAACACCGAGCCGAAAGTACAGAAAACTTTGAAAATTTGGGAAATTGTTATTTGAATATGTCTCAAACATGACATTCTTTAGAAGAGTGAAGGCTGAGATTTCTAGGAATATCAGGAATATTCTAAGAGTATCAGAGAGAGAGAGAGAGAGAGAGAGAGAGAGAGAGAGAGAGAGAGAGAGAGAGAGAGAGAGAGAGAGAGAGAGAGAGAGAGAGAGAGAGAGAGAGAGAGAGAGAGAGAGAGAGAGAGAGAGAGAGAGAGAGAGAGAGAGAGAGAGAGAGAGAGAGAGAGAGAGAGAGAGAGAGAGAGAGAGAGAGAGAGAGAGAGAGAGAGAGAGAGAGAGAGAGAGAGAGAGAGAGAGAGAGAGAGAGAGAGAGAGAGAGAGAGAGAGAGAGAGAGAGAGAGAGAGAGAGAGAGAGAGAGAGAGAGAGAGAGAGAGAGAGAGAGAGAGAGAGAGAGAGAGAGAGAGAGAGAGAGAGAGAGAGAGAGAGAGAGAGAGAGAGAGAGAGAGAGAGAGAGAGAGAGAGAGAGAGAGAGAGAGAGAGAGAGAGAGAGAGAGAGAGAGAGAGAGAGAGAGAGAGAGAGAGAGAGAGAGAGAGAGAGAGAGAGAGAGAGAGAGAGAGAGAGAGAGAGAGAGAGAGAGAGAGAGAGAGAGAGAGAGAGAGAGAGAGAGTTTTGTCTTGTTAGAGTATTGCTCATTAGAGACATATCACACCACAAATATCACACCAGACACTCTCAAATCAAATATCTCGGTTGTGCGGTCACATTTAAAACTTGTAAATTCGCCTGATTAACACGTGAAATTCGCTACCCTTTGCCGGGTTACCACTGAGATCACGTGATTAAGTTGTTAGGTCATGTGATCCTCGTGACATGTGAGGTGAAGGAGCATGGCTTATCTCTAGTGTTAATAGCATTATCATCAGGGAACATTACAATATATTTTAGGTATACGCGAATCGCAGATTTCTAAATTTGATACGGGTTATTGAATAAGAGCTTGCAATTTATTAAAAGGTGGATGACGGGGTTTTAGTAGGTGTCATTGATTAATAAGCGAGAGAGAGAGAGAGAGAGAGAGATTAATAAGCGACGAGACGTATATTTTAGAACCTCTAGACAAAACGATAACGTTTCTCATTTACCGGCATGCGGTCCTCTGGGACATTTCCAGGCGCCGCCAATCTGGAAACAGCCGCGGAAAATCACAACAATTCACTAAACTATTTGATTAATTCGTTCATTTTACCACAACACAATTTTAGACCAAACAAAATCTGCTTGAATCTTTAAAAATATCCCAGAAGATTTTATGTAAACTCCTTAACTAACCCGCTCTCCCCTCCCCAGTTCAGCCACAACCCCAGATGAAACACCCTCTCCAGCCGTTCGGCAACATTCCCTCCTCCTACCTGGTCACTCCACAGTTTGTAGGAGGAGACTTCAGCTCCCTTTCCCAGTCCGGCATGGTTCCCGGAGGTGGTCTGGGAAGTAGTCTCGTTCAGGGCGGACTCTCTGGCATGCCTAACTTCAAGGTTAGCTGATCAAACATTTATTTTACTAAGTTTATTTTTCTTGTTGAGATTCGGGAACCTTACTCAGTGACCTGGTAATTTCGGATTTGCGATTCTGAAAATCTGGCTGCTAGCAGGATAATGAGACGTATTCGGTTAAATATTTGTCATGTTTTAGATGGGGTCTAACTGCAAGCGTCTGGGAGATTATAAATCGTTACATTGTCTAGCTGGGAGGTTGAGTGGGCAGTGAGCTGGGTCTACCATTTTGTTTGAGGTCTGACATTTGTCAGGTCGAGCATTATGTGGATAGAGCTCACCCTCCTTCCTCCCGTATTTCAATTAAATTTTATAGTCCTTTATGACCACAATCTTGCTATTCACAATTCGAGTATTAGAGATGACAAATTTATCTCTTACCATAATTTGTCTTAGATGACTCCTTAAGGTTTTATCTAAGAGGGTTAGGCTGTGTCATTTTGCTTATTTTACGGTACCATGGTTATGAAAATGTCAATTAACTCGCATCCAAGGTATCGACATCTTTGAATAAATGTCAACGGAGCCAAGTTGACAAATCCTTGTCAAAAGTCAGTATTTTTGGCTCATTATGAATGATAAAATTTACTGAAAATAGTTAGTGTTTATGCCAGATAGCAGTGTTTTCGGACAAATGCAAGGTTATATCACCGAAGATACAAGGTAGGACGGGTATTTTGTCAAATTCTAAACACAGGCTATCGTTCAATCAGTCAGGCTCTGACAAATTGTGTCGCTCGGAGAATTGAAGTACTGTATTAATACTATGTTTGCAGTGTCCATCAAGCTCCCACAAATATAGACTGGTTCTGTGAAGAGTGGGTCCAGGGTATTCTTGGTATTCGCACTGCATTCTCAGTAGTTTAGCCGCTCAACTTCAAACCAATTCAATATTTTTGACAGTTTGATGCGCCCAAATGCCAACTTGGCTGAATGCCAAATTTTTAGTTCAAATTAGAAAATTATTCCAGTTTCTGGGCAAATATGTTCATATCCATCCGAGCCATTTTGGTTTAATTTTTCAAATGAAGTACTGAAGCCAAATAAGATAACAGGCGTCCTGTTCGATACCGCCTTTTTTCAAAGTGACACACTGTAACTCGATTACAATTTGTCTTTTAGAATTTGAGTAATGAGGTAAACGTCTTGACTTGGACAAAGGGAACCGTGCAAATTTCACAAGTGCATCCAATTTGACCATAATTTAGGTAGAAGATAATTGAATCGTACCGGTCCAAATTTCCCAGTACATATGTCTATAGATAATGAAACATTCTGAACAACTTCCTTTTCAGACACCATTCAGCGACGGACCCCTCAACCGATCCTCCACCAGCTTACCCAGTTCGGGAAAAACGTAAGTTATTTGTAATTTAAACCACAGTGAGTATAAATAGCGTACTACTGGAAAATATAAGGCCCTATCCGAGAGAAGGTTTGAGAGGTGTACAATTCACTAGGAGCTATCACTACAAAGCTCTTTAGCCACTCTCCCCTCCCCTCTGACGAGACAACAATAGAATACCGTACATGTCTTGCATTGTCTGACGCTGGGTCTTCTCTCCAGACAGAGGTCCCACTCTAGACAGGCTGGTTCCCACAAGGACCCTGTAACCACTGTGGTACTACTGCTCCGAGGTGCTAACAAGCTTCAGTGTGTATATTGTGAGCAGGTTCTAACTAGCCGCCGTTATGTCCAGGCGTGTACTCTTCTGATTAATATAACGTCTGCACTGTCAGACACTCAGACAGCTTCTCTTTTAAAACTGACTCAGAGTAGAGTACACTGAGCTTGAGTACACTGGGTTTTCTAAGTGCCCTCCCCTGAAAATATTACTACAGTATCTGTTCATTTCCTCAGACCTGATCTTTAATCCTTACCCCTACTCATGCTCATTTCTTCATCCTTCTCTATGATACATTCCTGTAGTGTTAACTGTCAGATACAATCATCAGTCCCCACTTCTCACCCCACATCTCACCCCACTTCTCACTCCACACCTCACTCCACACCTCACCCCACTTCTCACCCCACTTCTCACCCCACTTCTCACCCCACATCTCACCCCACACCTCACTCCATGTGTTACCCCACACCTCACCCCACATCTCACCCCACACCTCACTCCATGTGCCACCCCACACCTCACCCCACTTCTCACTCCACACGTCACCCCACACCTCACTCCACATGCCACCCCACGTGCCACCCCACGTGCCACCCCATATATTAAAACCACAAATCTCCCCCAGGTACTCGTACTGTCAGAATGGACCCAACAGTGATCTCGTCCCAACACAGTTCCCCGCAGACTGTAACCTTGGTCCTAAAATCCCCAAATCAGCTAAAGCAATACAGACTCTCCATCACGGCGAGGTGGTCTGTGCTGTTGCTATTGGTGAGAAACTGTTACTTTAATATCTTTATCACCATGAGAGACAGTTTCAGTTTTATAAATTTTTACAAAACGTTTGAAAGTAGCGAGTTAGATGTGATGTCTTTGAAAGATCTGTTTCAAAAATAATAAAAATAATAAAATTAATATTATGTTTTTTAAAGGTATGTATAATTCAATAGAAAAACTGGTACATTAGTACCAAAACTAGACAAATTTAGAAATATTATTATCGAAGTACATAAGACTAAATTGCTCTGTTTTTCAGGACATTCGTGGCCGAACAGACACGCCTACACGGGAGGTAAAGGGTGTGTGAAGGTCTGGGACATAAGCCCAAACGCTCCAGCATCCGTTAAAGAACCAGTCTACTCGATAGAATGCTTGGTAAGTCGACTGCAGCTTTGAGTGTTTGTGTGTTCGTAGCTTGTGTTTATTCGTCTGAAGGTATCCGAATGTTTCCTATTTGGTGCTTTAAGAGATGCCTAGCTAATAGTTTGCAATTATGCCGGGTCTAACTGAACAGTTCGACCCACGTGCTCATAATAAAAATACACATGGCTTTATCACGAAAGATCCTTACTCGAGTATATTAAATAACCGTCTATTTGCTGCGTTTGTAAATCCAACATTTGTATGAAGTGTTCCGGTGGTTTGTAGCATCTAACTGAACTAGTACAATATCTGCCTGAATTAGTACCCTGTTAAAAGTCTTTATTGCTCTATTAGTTGTTTAGTGTCTCTATAAACATACTTCCGTACCGTTACTGAGATAGTCTGTGTGGATCTGAATATGTGTATATTATTGAGTAAAATTCATATAACTAGGGTTTAATTATTACAAATATGTTTTGTGTGTGTGTACACAAATTATATTATGTTACACATATTATATATATTAGTTCAGACATTACACAGTAGCTAACCTGTTCCATTGTAAATACGTTGCTAAAAAATATTTGTAATTTTCACGGGGTGGCGATGTGAAGGACAGAAGGAATATTGCGAGTGGAGGGTGAGCGCTAATTTAATAAACTACTCTGGAGAATATAATGCTAATTGATAATACGATTAACTTGTCTGTGTCAATTTGCGTGTCTGTGTGCGAGCAGGTGTGGTGCCCTGACCCAATCACACTCGCCACTTAACAACCAATCTACTAATGATGTGAACTTCAGCTGAACAAACACTCGAGCTTTATGTGGGCTAATCATCTCTATGTTATAATGGTTTCAAGCGGTGAGAAATTAAGACTTTTAACGAGAGGGATCTTGTCTGTAGTTGTGATGAGTTCTTGTTACCTAATCACTCTTAATCACCTCTAATTAGCGGCTAATTGAGTTGAAGTTATCGTGAAGCTCGTGAAAAACACTTAGTGGAATGCGCATCTGACAAATAATGGAGTATAAATAACACGAAGACCCACCAAAAGGAGCCGACCTGTTTATCAAGGATATCATTTCTCCTTAGTGTTGAGTAGTTAACTATTACTGGGGTGGAATACTTAATTAGGATAATTACCACACAACTAGGGGCCAACTAAATGACCGCTACAATATTGTGGGAAATTCTGCAGTGCCAATCTAATTGTGAAGAGGAGTTTACATTCAGGATCGTTGGATGAGCTGAATTTGATGAATTCCTGGCTCTGTGAATGTTCAGGATTCCCAGGTCTACTATAGATCTCTGTGATCACTAGTTGACCACTGAGATTCTAATGTCTTGAGTAACTGTGTGTCTGGAGGTTGAGAGCGTCTGCTTTGTTGGAATTCCATGTTAGTTCAGGGTTTGTTGTGAAAGAATTTAATTGCCCTTATTTACCAAGTGAATTTATAAGGGGATAACCTTGAAAAAGTGGTGCAAACAAATTGGGTGCAGTTGAATTGTTTGAAAGACTGAACATGATTATATTTGAGAGCTTCAGATAGAACTTTAACCCTTGCGATGAATAATTTTGTTTTCTAGTTGTTCAGTACATACTTGAGTCTATACTCGTGAGGAGTTATTGTACATCACATTGAATATACGCAAACACGCATCAAATAATAGAATGAATTACTGCTCAAACAATCATTAAACATTAAGGTAAGTATTACATGATCATTATGAACTATTATGCTCAACAGTACACTTATGAAAGACCGTGCATATTTAGGATTTGTATCTCAGTAGATAATATTCGAGTATATCTCCAGATCAGCAGCAGCCTGTTCCCGCCAATTATCTCATTAGACACCAATTAACGAGTGTAGCGGTTCCCGCTAATTACCTCATTAGACACTGTTTATCCCCTTATCTCGTCATATGGTAGATATTCTGCTACCGCATTTCCTAGTAAACTGTATTAACATGTACCGCAACGAGGCTCGATACTTCATTTCACTGACCAAGAAGAAGTGCTCTATAGGATTATTCACCAGATTTTTACCTTCAATTAAATTATTGGCTCTTCACCTAATTTAACTGTCCTTAATATGACGTGAATATTGTGAAATCAATGCCACACAACACAGTTAAAACCACAGATCCTAGGGTCTTGTTCTCAAGAACAGCAGAATCGTCAGCTGAGTTCTGTGTATGATTCCAAGGGTAGAGCTCTAAATTTTAGTTCCACCTAATAATATTTCAGATTTTAGTTCCGCCTTATTTCTCATCCACCCTTTTTCCTCAGAAAGACAACTATATTCGAGTGTGTAAGTTGCTGCCGGATGGGAGGCAGTTGTTGGTGTGTGGCGAAGCTCCCACTCTTACACTCTGGGATCTCACTCAGGTACAAATATATTTATAAGATAAAACCGAGTGAATGTTTTACATATAATGTGCTTTGTTTAAATTTCAGTTTTCGCTCCAAACTTAGTCAGAACCATTCAGCAGAACTCAATTGTTACACTTTGTCCTTTATAGCGTGTTCTTTACAGCGTGTCGAATAACATTAAACTTATTTGTACTGAAACCGTGGGTTCAGTAGTTGGTAGCTAGAGTAGGTTCTCTGGCTCATATTACGGGTAAACGCTAGACCGTGTATTTAGGTTCCTCTGTATTTACATCCCTCTGGCGGGCCCAGCATGGGCGTATTCAGGATTATAGCGGCATGTTTTATCATCTAACAAAATTGCATGTTAAAAGCTTCCGCATAATTCAAAATCCACCATTGGTCCACCGAGTTAATGTCATCCGAGCCGAATGTTCTTGAATGTTTATATCTGCTAATGTTATGAGATGAAATCTACCAGTTGTACTACCAAATACCACTGGGTCAGATAACCCTCTCCAGATATAATCCCTGTACAGCAGGCAACATCGTGGTTCCTCTTAACAATATATGTGACTAAATTCTTTCAATTTCTGACCTCACACCATTCTCTAACTTTCAGGGTAAGCCAATACAGAAGGGGGAGATAAAGTCGACAGCCCCGGCGTGTTACGCTGTTGCAATATCTCCGGACAACAAAACTTGTTTTAGTTGCTGTAGTGACGGCAACATTGCTGTCTGGGACCTTCACAACCAAAAACTCATCAAGTAAGGAGGCCGTTTAGAGTACAAAAATAACCCTTTGTGTGCTGCTCTATGTTTTTAAATCTTAACGATAATTATCTGATGGAATTACGATGTTTTAACTTTTCGGGTGTTGATAATTTGCCACATGAAATAAATCGAATAAATTATAGAAGGCATGCGTGAAGGTAATTTGTCTCAAGTACCGTGTTTTCGTGGTCTCATCGAGTTTTTTTTTCAGTCAGTTCCAAGGACACACGGACGGTGCAAGTTGCACAGATATTTCTACAGATGGAACCAAACTATGGACGGGTAGGTTTCCTCCTAGGTTCATATATTTTAAGTGAAAACTGCTAGAATTCAACAAATTGAGTCGCTCCTTATGTAATCAGATCATCGTGGAATTTTGTGTAATAAGCCCTGGTCATAAGTAAGTTAAAATTTTATCAAATTATCACTGGGCTGATCATAGACTTCAATGAGAAGGTCAGACCAAAATTGTGCTGCGCTGCGGATGCAACACCCTCAACAACTAGCAAAAAGGTCTACTTATTCAAATCCATACGTAATGAAAAGACTTTTTGTTACTCCTGTTTGTTATTTTGGCGCGCGTCGCGCGCACCCAATTATTCATGAGCTGGCGGCTTCATTTGTCAAAATAGTCCTATCCTTAACCAGCAATGGGCAGCAAATATTTTGATAAGTCATAAGATGATTGGCACCAGGTAAAACTGTTAGCCTTAACAATTTTTTAACCACAGAGCCGCTCAGTAGTCGGTAACTATGTCTGTTGCTACCATATCGGTCTCGCCAAATGCAAATACGCTCGTCGATTCTTTTTCCAGCCAACAACAGAAATCGATTCGATTAATCGTGCCCGGAATGATCCACATATAAATTTGTGTCTCTGGAAAATTTCCGATATGCGGCTAACAGCCAGAGCCAACTGGCAGCATTCGGCAGCACCGTGTCAACTTTCAAAATTTAGTGATCGCTTTTGTTTAAAACACGTGTTAAACTATATCTGAATATCAATGTACTGATTTTCGCATGGATATATTTAAGTCTGGTTAACTTCGGTAACTGTTCATCATGGACTCAATGGAGCCAACTTTTTCACATGTAGCAGTTAAAAGTACCAAATTAAGAATATGTATTTGTAACATGATGACAGTAGTCAATACATTTGGACATACTAATAATTGTATTGTGTGCGGTTGTATCAGGTTGAACTAATTAATTATATTTAACAGGTGGATTGGACAATACTGTACGGTCTTGGGACTTGAGAGAGCCGACTCAGAAGTTGGAAACATACGAGTTCTCGTCTCAAATATTTTCCTTGGGATACTGTCCTAAAGAAGACTGGGTCGCAGTCGGGTAAGACTTATTAATCAGAACAATTAGCAACGGTTCCCATGCATCTGAATGGAAAGGAAATTAATGAAAGAGTTTGTGCCTTGTAGTACCTTAAACCCGGCCTCCCCTTACAACCACCTAATTTCCTCTCCCTCAGAATGGAGTCGTGCTACATAGAACTGTTCAACGTTAACACATCCATCACGGAGAAATACCAGCTCCAGAAACACGAGAGTAGCGTCCTATCCCTCAAGTTCTCTTCAGGAGGCGACTGGTTTGTAACCACCGGCAAAGATAACCAGCTCAATATGTGGACCACTCCTCACGGATACAGCATTTATCAGGTATTTACTCCGTTTTAATGTTCAGATTTTATAATAAAATTTGCTTACGAAACGAAACGAAACTCTGTATTTACTACCCCGCTACTATTATATGTGACAAAGATATTGTATGAAATATAACTAAATAATTTACACAATACGGTGCCCATGTCTGAGCGGCTCTCCTCAAAAAAACCTTCTCTCCTCATCGGAGCAGAAAGTTAAAAACAAAACACAGGTCTCATAAGATCAAAAAATACTAAATGATGCTAAAGAGATAATATCAGATTAACTGCCGCAAAAAATAGTAATAGTATACATACAATATGATTGATTTTATTGACACACCCAAAAAACCAACTGGTTTAAAACCAACAAAACAAAAAATGGATACTCGAAAAAATTATACAACAAAAGACTTCGCCTCTAGATTCTAGAAATAGCCTAACCAGGTTATAACTGATCATACAATTAATAGTTCTTACCAAAATTTTAGTTAAAAATGTTACAAATTTGCAGTCTACCAGTATTAGTCTTTTGGTTTAGGGATTGCTCATTTATGAAGTAAGCTAACCTAGGGAGGGAGAAGTTTAAAACATCAATTTTAGTCAAATATTTTACTTAATTTGTGGAAGACTTAATTTGCCATCCCTTGAATTATGTTACTATTATTAGTATGATACGCTTTATTTTGATAGGAAATTTTGGTATCGTTCTTTTCTTCATCTCTTGTACTTGTTTTCAAGAGACGACTTACAATCTTTTTGTTTTTTGCTGATTTTGGCTTTGGTAATTGATATAAATTGAATTCAATCTGATGTTACAAATGCTAACCCAATTATTTCAGTCGCTGGAGGCAGGGTCGGTTCTTGGCTGTGACATATCTGAAGATGATCGCTTCATTATAACGGGGTCAGGTGACAAAAAGGCAACCCTATACGAAGTAATCTACTGAGCCCTGACTTGGCTAGGCGCCAGTATCTTGATATCACAGAACTCCGTGACAGAGAATTAAGCAGTCCTTCGCACGTGCAGCTAGGTTAAATACCAGGCCCAACACTCGCAGTAACGCGCACCGTACATCTTGTACTTTCAGATGTGCAGTGCACAAAGATTGAGATGATGATAGACAATTTAGAGCTGACCAACCAAACAAAAAACTGACACAATATTGGCGTAAAGAAGTGTGGTATTTGATAGACTTGAGGCGTATTTCACAAAGAAGTGTGGTATTTGATAGACTAGAGGCGTATTTCTCCCATTGGCGTTTTCTGGGATTGTGCGGGGTTTGTTACTTTTAAAATTATTTCATAGTTCACGTTAACTTCATTCTTTAAAACGATGACAATTAACTTTCGTTAAAGTTGTTGAATCTCTAATAAAGGAAAAAAATAGATTGTTAAAGCTATTTATTGAGGCTAGATATTATTGATTATTATGATGCGTAATTCAGACTCGAAAATGTATGGTAAAACCCCGATTTGCCGAAACTCATGAGCATAATGGGGGCCTTGATTCCCAAACACCAGCTGATGTTTTATTTCGGGAAATGTATGACGTAAGTCAAGGCACGGTAAGTCGAGGTTTGGCCAGTTGGGGGTCAGTTATCCCCGCCAAACGCTGATTGAGGATCTTTTGGTTTAAACGGGTACCTTATTTTTTATGGAATTACGGTTAGAGTGGTTGGATTCCTTGTTGGACAGGTGAAATTAGGACTTGCCTATGGGATTTTGGGGTACTTATCTATTGTGCTGTGTATTTGATATACTTCATTTAATATATTGTGAGTGCTGTGGTGACTGATTTAAAGGCAAAACTTGAACTTAAGAAAATTGATTTTTAATAAGGAACTCCGATTCGTTTGTTTAAGTTTTGCTGAGTCATTTCGCCAAGTTTGAATTATCTTTAAGTTTAACCTTGATACTATTTAAGTAAAAGTCATGGACGATTCTCCGTCAAGTGGTGTGAAATGGTTTAAATTTTACTGTTTTTATGTAAATTATATATTTTTAGTATCACGCTATGATTATCCTCTTCTTTTTACTTTCCATCGTTACCTCTGTTACTAAATACTGAAAAAGACAAACAAAACTCTTACTTAAGTTGATAATCGAGAAACCCAAAGTCGCCTGAAATTTGAAAACTTTGTGTCCGTACTCCGTAGCTTATGAAACTTCTATAGTTTAGTCGCCTTGCTGTTTAATCTGAGTCAAATTCCTGTGCTCCAGGGATATAAAATATTCGAATCGCTTGTTGGGCCGGCCTAGTGAAGGAAGGTAATTAATTCAAACGTTATGCTTGACTTATATAATAGGCCAGGTGGCATCTTGTTGATCTAGTTCTAGCAAGAAATAATTGTATCTTTGCATTACGTGGCTGTATTGTTGAAGTTTAAGATTAATTTCATTCCGTAGAAAATCTTGTTGATGCCGTTCAAACAATAGCATTCATCTTGCTAGCTGTCAAATCGTGGTGCTAAAGAAATCATGGTTACCGTCATTATTCGATTTCATGGTTCAAAATTCCGACAGCCTAAAAACCATGGTAGCCATCTGGTTATCATCCCTTCATGGTTCATGATTGAGCGACTTGATAAAACAAAAGAAATCTCATGTGACTCATTAATAGAATAAAGATTCAACACGACAGCGACTTTGCTAGACCAATAAAAAAGTCGCGAGCATTTGTAATTTGATTCTGCTCTGTTTGCTGTTATTTCCTGAAACTGTATTGTTTAGGATCCTATCTCGCTCTAAAAATAATCACAGATTTTAAAAGGTGTAAATTAAAGAGGCCATCTGTTACAGTTACTCCACCGTTTCTAATCTTCTTGTTCATTGTTATACTGTATCAACAGCCAACTGTATGAGTATCAGCACTCAAAACATGTCAACAACATTCAAAAATGTCCCGCAATCGCTCTTAAATTTTGGGCAGTATCTAGATAGCCCGACCCCTGTCCGCGGACAACTGTCCACGAACAACTGTCCACGAACACCTGTCTACCAGATCATATTATAACTGCATAATAACAGTATCCCCTGAATCAAGCAACAGGTGTATGTGAATAGTTGATTGGTTACCAGATAATATGACCGCAAATGTTATGAAATTTAATGGTATGTATGCAGTATGGTATCTTGGATGCAATTAGTTACGACTACAGACTAGCATGGACGAAAATTAATGGACCCACGGCCTCCCTAGAGAATGCTCGAGACTTCCTATTCCAGAAAAACCTCATAAAGAGCTCCATGTCCTGTCCTGGGTGTAACGCATCTATGTCCCTGGTTCCCTGCTCGTAAGGTTGCTTAATCGTTTGACACCACCGCTGATTGGAATTCGCGTGCGATGATGTGAACCCTGCTTGATTCAGGGGATACTGTTATTATGCAGTGATATGATCTAGTAGACAGTTGTCCGTGGACAGTTGTCCGCGGACAGGGGTCGGGCTATCTAGATACTGCCAAATTTTGATTTTTTTTGTCTAGAAATTTTATGCGAAACTTGATTCCACTCTCGTTCTACTTCTAGCTTATAGTCACTTTAACTTCAGTTAACAAATTTATATCCAAATTAATCAAAAAATGGCAGAATTATGGGCAAGAGAATTATACCCACATTTCACATTTGGGAATTCGCACCAAATTTTATAGCTTTCAACCAAAAAATTGGTAAAATTTTTAAATGCGACAAACTTCACATGGAGTTTCTACATATTCTCTGTGATGCTACAGGTACAGGCCTTCACCTAACCATGTGCTTTCGCGCCACTGCGGGCGCGCTTGTTTCACAAGTCAAGAGGCGGGCGCGCGCTACTGCAAGCGCAAGGGCTCTGGATAGAGCAACTACAGGCCTACAGCTCAATGTCTGCTAAAATTCGAATTCTGATACCAAAATTAACAACATCGCCATTATCTCACCTAGCTACTATATACAATATATTATATATATATTATATATATGGGTCACCGCCGTCCTCTAATTAGCAAGGACAGTCAACAGCTAGAGCTATACTTAAATAGTTCAAGTCAATTGTTAATTGAAAATAATAATATATAATAGAATGTTGTATCAGAAATATTTATTTTTTTGATTTTGACTTATTTTAAATATTATATTCACAGGTTGACCATTGTTAATGGTCTGGCCCGGCGCGCGCTACTTCGTAGCACTAGTTGCCATCGGGAAGAAAGCGGCGCGCGCTACTTCGAAGAAAACGAGTAACATCCGTCAAGTAACGAGGGGGTGCACGATAAAAATAAACTTGCTCGGATTTTCAAAATTTTTGTACCATTGTTTTCTAAAGACTGTGAGAATTTTTTATACCTTTTTGGAATGATTAGTGAGTTTTGCCTAGGTGCCATATTTGATGGTGCGCGGCTTTTGGAGCAAAAGTAGGTGTAAAAGTGAAAAGTCGCGCGCGTAATTTGACGAAATTCGTTGATTTTTGTCGTATTATTTTGTCATATCTTCGGTTCCTAAACATGAATCATGCTGAAAATTTGTCAGAACCTTCCAATCATACTTAACTACCGAATCTAAATTAGTTGGGAGGGATTGGTCTTGATTAAGAGGTCTAAAAATAACAAAATAACTATAAATTCGTTGATAACTCAAATTATTCTGACAGTCGAAATTGCTCAAACTAATTTAGGTTTAAGTAAAACATAAATGTTTACGTAAGCTGGCCAAATTTCAACAAAATTGTTATATGGGAAGTATTATAACTTTTTGATTGTTTCCGAAATAATGTGCTGGCCGAAATCAAGCTAAAAAACCATTCAGTGGTCAGCGCGCGCGTCTTACGGTCTATGGCGCACGGTCTAGAAGAACATCCGTCAAATTCTCAGGGACCGATTTTGACCCAGTAGTGCATCGCGCTACAAGACCTACCCCATACCGTACCCGAGTCTAGTAGGTTATAGTAGAGGCTCTTATATATATATATATATATATATAATTAGGGGGTGCACCATAAAAATAAACTTGCTCGGATTTTAAAAATTTTTGTACCATTGTTTTCTAGAGACTGTGAGAATTTTCACAATACCAAATTTGTCATACCTTTTTGGAAAGATCAGTGAGTTTCGCCTAAGTGCCATATTTGATGGTGCGCGGCTTTTGGAGCAAAATTAGCTGTAAAAGTCGCGTAATTTGACCAAATTTGACCAAATTCGTTGATTTTTGTCGTATTATTTGGATATATCTTCAGTTCCTTGAATGAGATCATTCTGAAAATTGGCGACGACCTTCCAATAGGGCTTTCACAACTGTCCGAAAAATTTGGTGGATATCGGAGTTGATATAGTGATCAAAATGGGGCAAAATACGCTGCTTTTAGCTGTAACATAATGTCTGATGGTTGCATATGCTTTAAACTTTTCGGACACCTTCCTTGTAAGTCTATGAGTAAGCTTACCAATTTTTGTTGCAATCGGAGGTCGGGAAGGATACTTAATATCTATTTGTTTGAAGAAAATTGTGCTGGCCGAAATTAGCGCTAAAAAACCATCCTACAGTCGGCACGCGCGGCTCACTGTCGATGGCGCACTACCTAATATAATATAGGGACCCCAGATACATCTTACCTATTTTTGAACGTAGGTTACTACGGTATAGGTTACTATACAAAGGTTACTATACAATAAGTGTATCTTGCCATACGTTGTATGACCCGCCGCGCACGAGTGCGCGGCTCCCCTGTATCGAAAAAACGATAAAGGGTCACTAAGTGAACAGTTGACGGATGTTACTCGTCTAAATTTCTTCGAAGTAGCGCGCGCCGCTTTCTTCTCTATGGCAAGAGCTACGAAGTAGCGCGCGCCGGGTCAGATCATTAACAATGGTCAAAGTGAACAGTGAAACATGAAACAGTGAAACGTGAAACAGTGAAACATGAAACGACATGAAAATAAATGGGGGTCACGACGTGATACAAATATTAATGGACTAGCCCGGCGCGCGCTACTTCGTAGCACTCGCCTCGGGCGGGCCATTTCACATTTCGTACTATAGACTAGGCCGCGCTCAGCCTGTAATTCCGCCTATTTTCTATGATTATACACATAAATGTAATAGCCTGAGGTTCCCAGGTAAGCCATTTCGAGAAGAAAGCGGCGCGCGCTATTTCGAAGAAATTTAGACTGTAGACGAGTAACATCCGTCAACTTTATTAAATTAGTATTACTAACCTTGTTGTAGGGTCATTTTGGCATTTTCCAAAATAACTATTTTGATCATAATCTAACCCTTTATTACAACAATGAATAGAAAGGACCGAGAAGAAGGACGTGGAGAGAGGAGAATACAGAGATAAGACGAAGGGATGCGCAGAGGAGATCGCGAGAAGTGGAGCCCTAATGGCAAGGAACTCGATAGACGGTTTAGATTCTAATATAGATTGACGTTGGGTTTTATATTTTAAGTTTATATGCATGACAGTATTAGTCCAGTATTTAAGGGTAGTATTTTAGAGCATATATTTATGTACGACATTTAGTACAGCAGGGTAGTGCAGAGAGTTTTAGGGAAACAGAAAGTTTATTTCAACATCTCTGTTTTGGTTATCAAAGAGTTCAGTTTAACAACTCTGTTTTGGCTATAGGAGGATAGTTAAAGATATTGTTAAGGGCTCTTACTAATTCGCTCGCCCAAAAAATTCACGTGACTTTGGTTTTTATGGTTTTGCAGCCGTACAAGATTGTTCTAAAAGGGCCCCCAATAGTTGAAACCAACTTCAATCGATGTATTTTCGGACGCTGATTCCGAGTCACCCCAATGACATTCACATAAGGTTAAAATGCTCCCCTGACGAGATATTGGCGAAAAACTGTCTCGATCACGTGATATGACCGTATAAGGAAGTTAGTCTAATTTCTCGTTAGGGTTAGGGTTTCAGCATGTGCTTTTGTAAAAGATTGGGTTAGGGTTAGGGTTGGGATCAGATTAGAGAGTCAGAGTTTCGAATATGGAATAGTCGTTCAGGACATGGACAAGCTAGAGAATGGGTTGCAAAAGTCACGTGAC